TGTTCTTTTTCATGTGTTTGTGTTGAGTGTACTTGTCACATTTTAGTCGATGAATTGTATGTTCCAGTGTTACTACTGAAAATAAAAAAGGAGCAGGACAAAGAATTAAACCTTAACTAAACGCATATGAACTAAATTCTCCTAAATTTCCTAAAATTATTAGTTTTTGTTAAATTTTGTTAATATTAATCCATGCTGCTTGCGCAATTTTACAAATATAAATTCTTCTTATCTTCGTATCTTCGATGTCTAAATAAATCGTCTTCAGCTGTCTGAGATGTGTAACCTTAAATGTTAACAAACATAGGCAAATCATTCACCAAAATCAGATCGACGAACCGGTAGATGTTTCACGAAAATAATCTACTTGTGGTGAATTACCAAAGCTCCCTCCCTAAATTATGTATTCATTCATGGTTTTTAACTCTTCCCTAATAGCATTCTAGTGAAGGCTGAAAGAATGACTAGAAGCTAAAACAAAGGTTTAATATAAAAAAAAAACTTTTAAATGAAGTTCACAGTCATATGAAACCTTATGCACGTTTCTCTGTTCTGTATGGAAACAATAAACTCCATTTTCAGGGACCTGGCTGATCCAAAATACGTGTAGTCATGGAAAGTTTGCAAACTCCAATGAATTTATGACCGCTATGATGGCTTCCGACCACGGACATGAACCAAACGGAATTATATATCATCACGGCGGGGAAGTAACAAGATTGAATATTACATACTAATAACAGTTTTTACAGTTCGATAACTGCAGGCACTAAACGCTATTCTGGTTATCTGCTTTAAGTTCTGGACATTTGAAACATAATATTATTCACGGTTGTTTCTGCTTAGGCAGTGTCTTGAGATTTTTTCTATTTTACCAAAGGCTACTCTGTTTTTTGAGTGTGTTAGACATTGTCTCGTAGACTGGCAAGTCAAAAAGCGTTTTTGTGTTGCTCAAGAATTGAAGATGTGAAATTGCTGATTTTACCTTTCGGCAATAATGGAATCAGTTCATACACTCCTTATTTGAAAACAATGAAGCAATCAATTCGGCAGTGAATTTACGGGCAAGAGTAGCATAAGCTCTTAAATTATTATGAAGATTCCAGACAAAACAATAAAAGGAAATCCGTGGCTATATGTTGCAAGGTTTACATTTGATGACAAGTTATTTTTATATTATTTTTTCTGTGCCTTCTACTCTTTCTTCTGTCTTCACCAGCTTGCAAATTAAGTTTAAATAGCAAGAAAATTTGCAGCTCAGAGAAAGTACTGTTATAACCACCAAGTACAGTATGTTTAGCCAGTGACGAAGAACCACTCTTCAAATCGACTTTTGCATTAATTTTGGAATTATATCGTCAGACAGCAGGATTTAAATCCTCATTATCGGAGCCAGATGCAAAGGTGAAAATTTTATTTCTGGTTTTCTGCTTAAAGCCCCGCAAGTACCATTTGCTAATTTTTAATTCTATTACAATGGTTAGTTTTGATACGTTATACCATTTGTGTGTGATATTGCAAGTTAGTTAAAGTGTTAAGCTTGCAAAAACGTAATTCGTCTTAGAAAAAAAAAAGATTAAATATGTGAAAATTGTGTACTAATTGAGTTTAATCTTACAGAATGATAAGCTGAAAAAGTCACATGAAAGTTTTATTAAAATATTTTTCAAAATTTTCTGTAAAAGTGCTGACATAATCTTTTGATCTTTTTGCTTTATTTTAAGCTTATCCTATTATTTCATCTAAGAATCTGTATTTTAAGATTTATATTTTTATCTCCCGCCCACCTATATACCTGTGTGTCTGAATATTTTACTTATGTATGTAAGTCGGCGAGAGGTAAAAAGGGCACTCACTACTTTTGCCCCCTTCCCCTCTAGCATATTCATAGGAAAGGGAAGTAATGTTTTTGATTCAAAAGTTCGATACTGAATTTTCAGTGAATAAACAAAAATAAAGTTCCTTTGACATATATTTCTGAATTCATTTTTGAAGAAATAATTTCCATTCACTTTATATTTGGGAAAATAATATAATTATTTCAAGTCTTTAATATGATACCGTTTTAGGAATGAAACAGGTAATGACCATGTTTATCTTTCTTTAAAAGTCTCAGCCAAGTCGTGCACATTATTAAATGGACATATTATGCCACAGGTAGAGGAAATCTTTGACGCCATTCAGCATAATATGGACATCAGTGAAGCAGCTTACTTAAATTAAAATTTACTTTAATTAAACTAAAAATCGTCTAATGAAGACTTTCTTAGTTAGGCGATGAGGCAGTCTGCAGGCTAAAGTTTTACTTTTCCATTAACGGCCTCGGGGGGGGCACTATTATCACATGAATTATTTGAAATGGAGCCACTCTGAAAGTCTCTTTGTGCAGTGTGCAACTTGAACATCCATGCGATACAGCTCTGAACTCTTAAATAATAAAGATCTCGATAAGACTGCTTCGATTATAAAAAAATATGATTAAGCTATTTCAGTAATTAGGCTCTTCAAAAGTGAATTTTGTGAGGTCTCTACGGTGTATGTATTGTGTAAAACGTATTGAAAATGCCTTTATTTAATTAGTTACCCGAAAGCGATCCTGAAAAAATTAATAAGTTTCAATAATATCTGCACCTCCAGCTATTCAACAAAACGTCATAGTAATACACTGTTTTCGTCCATCTACTGGGAAGAAGATCTCGTGTAACTCTTGCAATTGTTTTTGTGCTTTTGTTCTTTGAGGTTGTCAAGATTATCAATTCTTTTCTTATATTTCCTTTTTTGTAAAAGTCCTAGACGAAGATCTCCGGCGGAGTAAAATCAGGATTTGTTACGATCCACGTGACAGGTCTATTTCTGTCAGTCCACCGCACAGGAAATCCAAGATTCAATTCGCTCCCCGCATGATTCGCAAAATGAGGTATTAGATCTGCAACTCAGCGCGCCATTAAATTTTCATTTGACCGTTCTAGAAATAAACGCATATTCTTCGCAAACTTGGGTGGTGCATCATTTTTGTTGGAAGATGCAATAAAAATCATGTCATCGTACAAATCAAATCATGTCATCGATGTTGTCATCGTACAAATGGAAGTGGAACTCAAATATGGTTCCACTTCCATTTCTACGATAAGGAAGAAAATAATTCTAGCGTGTCTGAATACACGCTGAAATTAATGCTAGTTTCAGCAAGATTGGGTTTTTTTAATATGGCAACGCACACGAGGGCTATCTTCCTAAGGCTATGGACACAAATTTATTTGCCTAAAGGAAGACATTGAGGACTTCCTAAAGAAAATCGAATTCCATTCATGTTACACATACGGAAAATCTCTAAAACAATCCATGCAGCCAGCCTGTTCGTCAGGATTCGAAACCGAAACATTGACCGTAAGTTAAATAAAGAAAATACAGTGGATGGACAAAAATATGGAAACACCTTGTGAAATGCATGTTTGAAAAGAAAGATTGATTTTAATGTAATATGTAGGTGGCGCTGGCGTTTTCGACTACTGACGCCATCTATACAACTTCGTAAATGTGCTAAACAGTTTAATTGTTGTCGGAGTACTGTTATGTGAGGTTGTCATTGCATTATGTCAGGGTTAACAGACTTCGAACGTGGGCAAATTGTTGGAGCACGTATGGTAGGTGCTTCCGTAAGCAAGGTAGCCGAGGTGTTTAGTGTTTCAAGAGGTACTGTATCAAAGATTTATTCCGCATATTTGAATAGCGGAAAAACATCATCTGCTAAATCACAGCAGACGAAAGTGTGTCCCGAGTGATCGTGACAGACGATCATTAAGGGCAATTGTGACGAAAAATAAGATGACCACAGCTGCAAAAGTTACTGCTGAAATGAATGTTGCGTTACCGAACCCTGAGAGTACCAAAACAATTAGAAGGGAGCTTCATAAACAGGGAATCGCTGGCCGTGCTGCAATCGAGAAGCCACTCATCAGTGATGCTAATGCCCGTAACAGGAAAAGGTGGTGTTTAAGTCATAAAGCCTGGACTATAGAGCAGTGGAAGCGAGTAATATGGTCTGACGAGTATTCTTTCACATTGTTTCCCACTTCTGGCCGAGTTTACGTCTGGATAACGCCATCTCAAGCCTATAATACAGACTGCTTGTTGCCAAGAGTGAAACATGGCGGGGGTTCTGTTATGGTTTGGGCAGCCATATCGTGGTTCTCTGCTAGCCCCATGATAACTGTGTAGGGGCACATGACTTCCAAGACTTATGTGAACATTTTGGCCGATCAAGTTCATCCCATGGTACAACTTTGTTCCCCGATGGTGATGGTGTCTTCCAAGACGACAAAGCCCCTGTTCACACAGCTCACATTGTGCAGGACTGGTTTTCTGAGCACGAGGATGAGTTGTCCCATCTCCCCTGGCCACCACAGTCACCAGACCTGAATATTATCGAACCTTTGTGGTCTACATTGGAACGGAAAGTGCGTTCTCGTTATCCACCGCCAACATCGTTATCTGAACTTGCCACCGTTTTGCAGGAAGAATGGTATAATATTCCCTTGGCAAACATACAGGAACTGTATTTATCCATTCCGAGAAGACTGCAAGCTGTTTTGGATGCCAACGGGTTTCCTACACCATATTAAGCAAAGGAACATGTTTTTTTAAAGGTGTTTCCATATTTTTGTCCAACCCCTGTAGTTCTAAATTCTTGTTACTCATGATATCACACCAAACATTGACCTTAACAGAATCTATATACGTATTTTCAAACTCTAAATTCGGCATCTGTAGAGCTTTACACGACTTTGCAGGGAATGTGGTTTCATCTGTAATCAGGCCATGATCATATGCAGGTAATCCTTTTGGTGAACAGAATTAAATAAAAATATTTTAAATCGATTTCACACCAAACAAACTTCACGGAAGCCTTATGAATTATCAGCATTTATTCTCGGATGCCCTATGTAGCTTTACTATTCAACAAAATAATATTTGATCGATTTATAAAAACAAGTTCGAAATTTAAAAATATTTAAAAGCTTTATTTTTATTATACGGTTTACATTTACACTTTTTATGACACGAACAAATCTCTTAATACACAAAATAATATATAAGTAAACATGTATAAGACTTCATAATGTATGTTACTATCCGGAAGATTGACGAAAACTAATTGTGAAGGAGTTACATACTTCAACTACCAAAAAGACTTGAGTACGAGGTCCAAGAAATGCTAACAGTCTGTTATTGAAAGAACGAAATAAAATATTTAGTCATTTGATACTAAGCGTATGAACCCAATTTTCCTCTAAGATACTGGCCACCTATTATTGAAAGCGTGAAATTAAAGGTGGTAATCATCTCATACTAATAACAAGAATCTAATTTTCCGGTGATTATAAATAGTCACAATTAATTTCCTAACTAACTCGAGGAAATCTGTAAACAGGGCTAAAGGTTTTACACAAAATATAAATATCTCTATCAAAATAGATAAGTCTAATCTAAAAATTATTTTATAAAGAATTTTTGCTGGTAAATATACTTGAAAAAATAGTGTTATTAGATAAAATGATACATTGTTATTAAGACAGAAATTTCAATTTTTCTTGATCTATGCAAATATTAGCTTACGTTCTCTTTATAAGTTATTACTGTACATAATTAAAAAATTCTTTGTTTACCGGAAAACCTTGCATAATTTCCTTGAACATATATCAATGATTGGATGAAACACTGCAAATTCTTCACAGGTAATAATGAAGTATCCTGTCTCATAACGTTTTATAAGAATTTCAGTCATGAAGTTTTAATACCGACAGGAACACATGAAAATATGTCATTATGAAAATAATCTTCGCTTTCATGATGATTGTATTAGAAATGCTTTTCATGTTGCTCAATAATTCTTCGAATCTTCTCTCAGAGTGCAAAAAAGAACTCCGGTGAAAATCAAGCATAATATCTGAAAATACAGGATGTTTACAGTTTAGTATTATACTGCATACAATTTAAATTTCTCATCTCATTTAAATAAATGGTAAATATGAAGAAGTAAAAAATATGAGACATGGCCCAGAAAATGTTATGCGTATGATAATAAAAAATCTTATGTGTACACCACATGACTTCCTTATATTGGAATATTAAATTGAAATATTAAATTATACGCATTTTTTCTTGCATTTCATTTAAAATTATTGGATTGAATTAAAACTACTTCGCCGACAGCGCATAAACTATAATAGAATAAATGCATTCTTTAAAATTCACTCTAGTATTTGATAGATTCACTTAACAGTATTAATAATTATATAACAGTTAACTTATATAATAATTATATAAGGGAAACTAAGTTAACTGTTATATAATCCAATAATTATATAACAGTTAACTTATATACTTCGTTCATATTATAACTCATAATGCACAAAATTTATATCATTTAAACAATAGAATTATCTAATCATTGCCACATGTTCTATTCAAATACTATAATAAAGCTAGAATGATGTATAAAAGAAATTAAGCAAACAAAACAAAAAAGAAATAGTTTTTCACAGACGATTGAGTATTTCTCATTTAATTAATTCAGTTCTCACTTCCCGAGAAGGCAAAAGTACATACAAACTCAAAATATCTATATTAAAAATTACGAAGTAAATCCCAAACACTTATTTCTTCGAAAAAATTCCGCAAAGAATTAAGCATGATTTAATTGGCAATAATAAATGAATGCGTTATCTTTGTTGTTGCGAAGCTAAGTTTCTCTAGATTGGCAAAAAATCCACTAGTCTCCTGTTTCAAATGTATACATCAATGGCCGCTGTTAAGAAAAGGCTTAGCGGCAATTAAACAACTTTAAAATTGCTGATAATTCTAAAAATATTGCACACAGATTTACTAAAGACATAAAAACCTTAACCGGAAGATAAAAACAACATAATACAATAATTTTTAAAGCAAAAAATATATAATTTACAAACATATAAGAGTAAAGAAACTGAGACCACTGAGCCGGGTAACAGAGTGGATATATATATATATATATATATATATTTATATACGTTTGGTACGGCCGATTGCAACCAAAATACGAGGTGCACATCTACATGTTATAGCAGTCCTATATACAAAATTTCAACGTTCTGAGGCTACTCGTTTTTGAGTTATGTGAGATACGTCCGTACGTACGTACAGACGCCATGAAAAATTCTCTTCAGAATTTATTTTAAAGCAGTTTTATAATTTTTTGAAGGAAAAGTGTATTTTATTCTATCTTTACCTACAGATATCACGCAAAAACATCGTTAAATTGCATTCGATAGCGGTCAAAATGGATATTTTCGTTGAAATATTCTGCCTGAAACTTTTCGCGATTACAATACTTCCTCTTTACTTCGTACATGGAAGTAAAAAGAAAGAAATTCAATAAACCTTTGTAATTTTAAAATATAATACACCTTACACGAAGAAAATAGGACAGTTATATATCTCTTTCTATTGGACCGATTCTCAAAACTTAACTTGCATTTTCTATGTCTCGAAAGCGCGACTTAGGATATATATTAGATTTATATGTAGCATTGTTTTAACATAGGTATTTTGACATAAAATCGGAGTTTTTATGAACTAACACACCAATCGTTTTTCATATTCCGATTCTATAACTCAAATTATGCCTAGATTTTAAATTTTGTAATTTTTGACGAGAAATTTATGGAGAAATTTAAAAATTTACCTTGGCGCATTTTTTTCAGTTTCAGCCTAAAATAACTCCCTTGGCGAACTTCTTCATTTATAGCAACCTATTTTTCATTGTACACGAGCAGAAAAAAGGCCTTCGTTCATACTTTCAAATAGTTTTAAGAAAGTTCGTGAATCAAATAAAGTGTTATTATCGCTTATAACAAATATGCCAGATTTCAAAACGCGCCAAAATGTTATAAGATATTTCTCCCGCCTTCTTGGGATGCCTTCGTGGTGTGCTGGTCTGCACGCAGGATGCGTATTCCAGAGATTCGCGGTTCGATTCTCTGCGAAGGCGTTTGCTAATTTTTCATCTTCCCTGCTTCCAAAAATGCCTAATATCTCTACAGTGGCGCCCGAACTAAAAGGATTGTGGATGATGATTCTCGTCACCCAGGATTTGGCGATTGGGTACCCTAAAAACCCCAGTCACCCTTTAAAATGGGGAGTATATAAGGTATTTCTCCCGCCTTCTTGGCATGGCTTCGTGGTGTGGTGGTCTGCAAGCTGGGAGCGTATTCCAGAAGTCCGTGGTTCGATTCCCGGCGAAAGCGTTTGCTCATTTTTCATCTCTCTGGACTTTCCAATTAACCTAATATCTCTACAATATAAATTCACGTATGTCGTAGGAAATTTTGAGTAAAAAAACTGTAATTTTTTCCAGGTATGCTTAAAAATATATCTACTTTAAGATGATAGTAAAATTTTTATAGGTTATAATTCAAAATGTTTTTATAAAAATTATTTAAAAATACAAGTTTTAGAAATAAATTATATATATATATATATATATATATATATATATATATATAAAAATCTGAAATGTTTCAAATTTTAAATTACGTCCAAAGGGGCGTTTTTTTAACATTTTGTGTGTTACCTTTCTTTATTAAATATCATGTTCCTCGCACTTAAACCATAAGATCCAGTGCAACAGCAATATCGCAAAATAGTTTTAAAACGAGCATATCTTTAGAATTTCCGATACAGAGACACACGTGCTGGAGATACAAATGTTTTTTCTGCACAACGTTGCCATTGCTCGCTTTGAAATCCTTGAGTTTGTTAATCAAAAATTCGTCAAAGTTTTAAAAAATAGGAAATCGATCATAAAACAAATTTCAAATTTCAAATTTGGTCTTCCACATGCTCATATTCGTTGGAGGATTACGTTATTCAAAATTCGATGACTCTATGTACCGTTATTTTATGACAATGTGAGAAATATACATACATTTACGCAGATTTTCATTATTTAATTTCTTCAAATATAATGCAGGACTCTAACATTTTATGGCAACAGTTTGAAAATGAACCGACATTTATCCGTCCGACGCAAAATGCCAAAACGAAACTAATAGTCCTTCGGGATTCAAATCCCTTTGGACTAAAAATGAGCGAATTTTACTTGGAATGAACCTAAATTTCGAAATGTGAAAGGAAGAATCAAATAAATTTAATAAAAAAAAAGAGATGTTAATAAATTTCAGTCAATTTAAATTAATTTCAATTAACATGGAGGAGCTAACATTTTGAGAGCTAATTTTTTAGAAACTACTCGTACGATTTTTTGCAAAACTTGGCACTTTGGCATAATTTGAGTCGTAGAATTGAAATATGGAAACAAATTGGTATGTTATTTTAGAAAATTACGATTTTGTGTCGAAATAAATACTGTATAAAAATATAATATATATCGCAAGTCGTGCTTTCGAGACGTGAAAAATGCAAGTTAAATTTCGACAATCGGTCCCGTAGAAAGAGTGATATAGAAATGTCCCTTTTTTATGTGTGTGTGTACAAGGTGTAGCTGCAGTTGTTATCCTCTGTTGACACTAAGGAAATTACGGCACTGAAAGTAAAATTTTTGCGTATCGTTGTTACACGCTGTTACTGGGAAATGCAGTCACCTTTTGCTGCAACTGAGTATCATGTACGAAATATAGTTCCCGATTCTTTACTCTTAATGAAGCACTTTCCACAAAACAAATTTATTATTCTTCATGGCAATGTCTTCCACATATCGCCGCATTTACTTAGCTTCGAGTTTGAAGTTTAGAAATGTCTGAGAGCAGCTAGAATCATGGAACTGCGAGATTTGAGAGCAAAGCGCAGAAGTTATTGTTTTTATTTTTGATAATTAAAACGACTTATTCGTCAGAGAATGCTTAATGGAGTGCTAATGATAATGTTTGCAAATTCTGCAAATTTGGAGTTGGCAAGAATGTCATTTCGTTTTTATTTCCTTGTACAAAGTAAAAAGGAAGTATTGTAATCACGAAAAGCTTCAGGCAGCATATTTCAACGAATATATCCACTTTGACCGCTTTCGAATGCAATTTAACGATGTTTTTGCGTGATATATATACGTAAGAACAGAATAAAAGACACTTTTCCTCCAAAAAAACTGAAAACTGCTTTAAAATGAATTATGAAGAGAATTTTTCGTGGCGTCGTACGAACGTATGTACGTACGTGCGTGCATATGTACGTATCTCGCATAACTCAAAAACGAGTAGCCTCAGAACGTTGAAATTTTGTATATAAGACTACTATAACATGCAGATGTGCACCTCGTATTTTGGTTTCAATCGGCCGCCCCAAACGTATATTAATATGTTGATAAATATATCCACTCTGTCACCCGGCTCAGTGATCTCAGTTTCTTTACTCTTATATGTTTGTAAACTGTACATTTTTTGCTTTAAAAATGATTGAATTATGTTGTTTTTATCTTCCGGTTAAAGGTTTTATGCCTTTCGTAATTCTGGAAGCAATGTTTGTACAATTATCAACAATTTAAAAGCTGTTTAAGTGCGGTTAAGTTTTAAATAACATGGCGGACATATTTGTTTACATTTGAAACAGCAGAATTGTAGATTTGTTGCCAATCTAGAGAGACTAAGCTTCGCAACACAAAATTGACGCCTTCATTTATTATTGCGAATTAAATCATGCTTAATCCTTTCTGGAATTTTTTCGAGGAAATAAGTATTTAAAATTTACTTCGTAATTTTTAATACAGATATTTTGAGTTTTTGTGTATTTTTGCCTTGTCGCGAAGTGAAAACTGAATTAATTGAATGAGAAATACTCAATCGTCTGTGAAAAACTGTTTCTTTTTCGTTTTGTTTGCATAATTTCTTTTATACATCGTTCTAGCTTTGTTATAGTATTTGAACAGAACATGTGGCAACGATTAGATAATTCTTTAAATGATATAAATTTTGTGCATTCTGAGTTATAATATGAACGAAATATAATACTGTTAATTAAACCTAGCGCCAGAGTGTCGCTATGGTAAACAAAGTGAATTTTAAAGAATGCATTTATTCTGTAGTGGTTTATGCGCTGTCGGCGAATTAGGTTTAATTCAATTCAATAAGTTAAATGAAATGCAAGAAAAAATGCGTATAATTTAATATTCCGTACAAGGAAGTCATGTGGTGTACACATCAGATTTTTTAGTGTTAAATTAAACTCAACGTTTTTATATAAATGATGAAATTTAATCCAGAAACATATTTCCCATTCTGTTCGATGACTTTTTGCCATCTTTCTGGTAACTTTACGATTCCGCGCTCGTAGAACTTCTGGTCTTTGTTAGCAAAAACTCAGCCAAATGCAGTTTGAGGTCATCTTTATTACTGAAATATTTGCCATTTAAGAAAATTTGTAAACTTCGATATAAATGATAATCCGATGATGCAAAGGCCGGGCTATATGAGATGAAATATCTCTTACCAACGAAGCTCCAATAATTTCGTACATGTTGCTAAAGATATGTGAGTCTTTGCATAGTTTTGATAGAAAACAATCCCTTTACGATTTTCCAATTCCGGCTTTTTCTCTTTGGTTGCTTCCTTACTTTTCATATAGATTTGATAGTAAACAAAACAAGTTTTGATAGTAAACATAACAGTAAATAGTTTTGAAGCTTGGAAGTAGCTCAAAATGCACAGCGCATTTGCAATCCCACCAGATTAAAAGCATGTTTTTTTTTTCTCTGATGAAATTTAGGTTTGTTATAATGTGCTGATTCATTACGCTTGGACCATGATCTTTTTCGATTAATGTTGTTGTAGACGGTCCATTTTTCATCACCAGTGATAATTCATTTGAAAAAAGTGTCAAAACATATAACATCTATTAACCTAAGGGGAGGGATGCCTTCTTGAATGACAGTCTAAAGGAATCTAGCTCAATTCAGTATTGCAGACAGGTAGAAAATGACACATAAGTCTAACTTTAGAAATAAATATAAACACGACGACGAGAAAAACTGACTATTGAACAATTCTGCAGGTGCATCATATGAACCAACAGAAATTACAGAAAAAAATTCCTATAATCCATGCCAACATAAACTCAGTTGCTGGTATTGCAATTAGAGATTGTGTAAGCTGAAAATTGAAAACACAAGAAGTTTAACAATATTCAAGGAAATTCTAAATAAATGAAATTATATGAATTCTTAAAAAGACAAGTAAAAACTGTCCCATTAAATATATTAATTTGTATTTTTTGTTTTTTAGATTGATTGCTTTTTAGTTTTAAATATTTAAATGATGATAATACTTAACTTCAGCAAATTACTTCGAAATTTACAAATTACTTCAAAAACTTCAAGAAATCATGTAATTAAAATTTTTAATTTGCAAAATTAAACAAGTTTTTCTGACTATTTTCTCAATAATTTTATGATTTTTAGATATTAAACCTTTCCGGCAAGCTACCTTTTAAAGTCGTAGTTTTGATTTAAAAAAAAAAAAAGGCAGTCAAATTAGGCCTAGAGGAGTACAGAAGTAAAATTTTGTGAAGATAGCACTTATCGTTTTAATTCTGCGGGTGTGCCCAAAGTGGGCACACTGATTGGAATAGAGCTTAGAAAACATGCTGAAACGAGCATTGTTGTCAATGAATGACCGATGACGAGATGCGGAGAAACAAAGAATACAGACTCTCAGTTGTCTTAGATTATCGGTGAGCCCGGTCTGGGCACACCTAGGGTTCGCCGTTTGATTTTAGGCAAGATTTCAAGGTAAAAATTTAAAACTAATATAGAATAAGGAGATTAGCATACAGCCAAAGAATAACAGAAATTTCTTTTCAAACAATCCTTTTATAGCCTAAAAAAGTCTGGAAGATTTCTATGAAAAATGAGGGTCTTAAAAAACTAAACATGGCTAAAATATATGGACTGTTTTGTGTTGAGTTGCCATCTACTTTAAATAAAGAAGGTTCAGAGTAACCTATAAATCCTTTTTCATTCCATTTTTCTGTGCGTACAGAAGGAAATTTTTAGGTGTGTCCAGTGTGCCGCAAAGGGTTAATGTATGAAAAATATCTGTATTTAATATGATAAATCTAAGTTAAATACCTCAAATTAGCTCTGTAATTTCATTTATTACCAAATACGTATGTACTTACATAACTTGTGTTTTTGAATAAAATGTTGATGGTATGAGGTATTAAACCAAAACTTTGAATAATGGATGTAAAAAAAAATTAAGAAAGGTTCGTAATTTTCATTGAACAAACCTGCACTAAAACTAATCCGAGAGAAATTCCTCCGATTGTACCAGCTTTCTGTTCCAGATATCTTCGGATATTTTCACCGCATCCCTGAAATAAAATTGTAAATTTGTACTTTTAATGAAATATGTTCAAGCACTTAATGGATAATTAAGATGACATTTTAACGTTTATGTCTTAAGTAATTATAAAAAGGGAAACTTTTAAATAACATAATATGTTATATAAACTCCTATGAAGCGAGTTTTAATAATACGAGGGCAATCCCCCAAAAAAAGGTCTCCTATTTTTTGGGGACGTACAGAAAGTTTTAATACGGTTGTTGGCAACACTGTTGTGAGTGGTGCCTTCTCCGCTACCACATAAACACGCAGGCGCTTCGCTCGGATGCTCAGTCTTGGCTTGGCAGCCATTCAAAATGGAGCTCCCGATAAACGTTACCGCCAAGTGCGAAGTCGTGCATGGATGTCAAAAACATTCGCAAGTGGTGTAGAGAGTTTACAGGCGGTCATACTCAAATTCATGACGAAGAAAGGAGCGGGAGGCCGTCAATTGCCGACGAGACAATCACGAAAGTTGAGGAACTCATGCGTAAAGATCGGAGGATCACTCTGGATGCTCTCTGCATTTTGGTTCCTGAGGTTTCCAGAAGCACCATCCACAGGATTTTAACGGAAAAGTTGCAATATCGGAAGGCGTGTGCAAGATGGGTGCCGCGTATGCTGACAGAAGACCACAAACGGAAACGGTTGACATTTGTCTGGACGACGGTTCTGCCCCAATGATGAGATGAAAGATGAGGTTCAACGCTTCCTGAAGGGCATGGCGGCAAGCTGGTATGACATGGGCATTGTAAAACTTCCACAGCGTCTACAAAAATACATCGACAGAAATGGCGATTATGTTGAAAAATAAAGCATTCATCAATCTTCAAAGTGATGTAGCAATTATAGAATATAAACGGTTCTTTGTATATCTAAAAATATAGGAGACCTTTTTTTTGGGATTGCCCTCGTAACTAGAGGAGTAAGGATGAAAAAGAGTTTTTCAGAAAAGTTTCGAAATGGCACCAACAGGACGACTAATATTCATTGTACCTTTAATAAGGCTTAAACTTCGAAATTAAAATCATACTTGCAACTCGGGATAAGAAATTTGCGAGGGCAAAATGCTCTTTAACGCTAAAGCATTATGAGACATTTCTTTATGTTTCTTTTATGCAAACAGTATGAGTTACTTTGCCTACCATAGTAATTACTTCTTTGGAATAATTTGTAAATAAAAATCAGATTTAATAATGTATGTCTTAGAGAAGAAATTTGGTAATATTTTCATTATCTAAGATGAGCTTCTGAGTGTTCTTCGATGCACGAGGCTCGAGCTCTAAATATAAATTGATTGCTTAAGATGAAAAGCATTAGAAAGTACAGAATTTTCAAAAAAATATATTAATTTCCAGAACGCCCTTTCTTCTTTGAGAAGTTCAACACGAAAAACGTACATTAGTATGGATTCATATAAAACCCCGTCGATTTCGAGGGGAGCATAAGTCTGTATACATCGAGGAGAAAAACATTTGCTGCGATTCAAACCATACGGTAGGATTTAAATTGACAGTCACTTCAGAATAGTGTTTGTCGTTACTACGTAATTTTTCCTTTACTAAAAATTACTCGTTTCTTTTCATTTTAAGTTTCTTCTCTTCTAAATTCTCCCACCAAAAAAAAAAAAAAAAAAAAAAAAAAAAAACCGCAAGACGTCTCTGTGCTCTTTGCCAACACTGGTTTAAGGACGCATGGTTTTGCAACTTTGCTGGTGCATCAAATACTTGTCGAGTAGTTGAACTCCTGGTTTCCTCTATGACAGGTCGGTTGAGGTAAGTAGTGCCCATGCGAAATCACTTTATTTGGAGGGACTTTCTTTGGACAAAAGAGAATTATCGTCCAATAAACGTTAGAACTATTATTTCGATTAAATGCCACTGTTTTAAGTGCTTTTTAATGTTTAAGTTTGTCTGCAATTTGGACGTCTTCTCCATGAGATCCTTAATTCTAATGACATCTAACATTCAAAGATCAGCAATTTTCATTTCCTTCATAAACAGTGATGTTATCCATTGCAAAATGTTCTCTTACAGCATAAACTTTCGGGACATTAATGTCCATCCGAGATTGGTTTCGACTGCAATTAAATCTGAGGATAATAGTTTTCTTCCGACAAGCAAAAGCCTACTAATAATATCTGGTACATAAATAACTTGAATAGGTTCACAAAGGGGAATAGCATCAATTAAGGGGACTCATACACCTTAAAAGCCATAAGATCTTCGAATAGGTGACTGTTGAAAGAATTGGGATAACTTATTATTTTAAAATCAATTACTTCCAACTTTTTACATCTGACTACATAATATAGCTGCTTTCGGAAATATTCATCAGAAAGTTTGTGTTGCCACAAATATTTTTATAATTTAATCCGCTTCGTGACCACATTTTTCGTCATGTTTCCACCTTGCGTGCACAGTTTAAAATATTCTGTCGCATAATTTAATTCCATATTTAATATATAGCTTTTATAACATTTGGAAACTACTGTGAACCTAAAATTCTAAAAATTTCTTGTTAAATTTTTATTTTATTTGGAGTTGAGGTTATAAAATGTATTTTATTAAAAAAATTTGTAATGTTTTCGTCCGTAGAAGTTTTCAGTATTAAAATATTTATCATACTTTTGGTTCAGTTAGAAAATACTGCCCATATAAAGAATTCCATCCAATTTCAAGCATGTACCATTAGCCATTTTTAAAATATCATGCGCGCAAGGTGGAAACATGGCGATATATTTTGTCACAAAGAGGATTAAATTACAAAACTATTTGTGGGAACACAAACTTTCTGGTTACTAGTTTCCAAAGCAGCTATATTATGTAGTCAGCTGTAAAAGGTTGGAAGTAAGTGCTTTTAAAATAAATAAAACATCCCAATTCTTGCAACAGTCACATATTTGAAGATCATTAGGGGTTTAAAGGTGTATGAGCCCCCTTACACTTTCACATATAATATTTTTATCCAAGACCTCAAAATTGTAAGTGAAATTCTCATTTAGTTGCGTTACCTTTATTTTGTAACAGTTATGTTTATCTTGCCTTCGTACAAACCCTGTCAAACAAAGAATGTTTATTTGCATTTTGATGCCTTTTCAAACCCCACTAATATTTTCTCTTTTTCATCAAAGATAATGCTGGCTTTAAAAGGTCTGAAAAAATGCTTTTAAATTCGAACTTACATTTGACCAGCTTGGCATTTTTAGGATAAATTTCTTCTTCCTTAGTTTGACTAGACTTGTTGCAGGTCTCTAGTTAATCACACATCAAGAGAGCATGTTTTTTGCTGTATATGACACATTTTAAGCGACACTTTCTAACTGAATGACAAGGAACACGTAGGTAAAACAGCATTTTTTTATGTTTTACAATTTTCTGCCTTTCTTTTAGTGCCAGTTTAACCAATGAGTTTTATCCTATTAAACCAATGAGCATTAGCATGTTTTCCTTATATGCATCTTGATGTCAATCTTTCAGGTTCTATGGACGTCAACAGCATGGCAGCATAGATTCTCTAGGAGGTTTGTCGCTTTGAGGTTCCGTGTTACATAATCTTTTCCTGAGCATCTTCGTATCTCCGTTTTTATCTAAACGAAAACCCGACATCACCAGAAAATTTCTTTAATCTTTCTCTACTTCGCCTTTGAGAAATGAAATCAAAGTTTTCAGTCGTTCCTTAGCATCATTTGCAGAATTAAAAGAAGGGTTCCTCCAACTGTAACTGTCGCTGATTAACCTATAAATTGCAGTCTGCGTTCCGGCTATCCTCAGGGCGGTGCTTCACCACAGAGCGATGTCAGTAATTAGATACATAAAGTTAGTCCCATGGGGCAGGATGAAAGTTGCAAAAGAAGGGTTTCTATTCCAAGCAATTAGAAATTCCTTGTCAAACGTGATTTCACCACTTAATAAAGAACAGCTGCGCATTTGTTTTTGAAACTCCCAGCTTTTCAAGAGCTCGGAAATAAGATTCAAAGCTATCGTAGAGTAATGTCAGCAAGTTCTTGATATATACTTCCACCAAAATGTCTTTTCTTCCAAAGCAAATCTTTAAACTCTTATAGCCCTTGGCATAATACATTCTGGCTTGTGGGAAACTTTCCACTATTTCTCTTGCTCCGGGACCAATAACATTTGCTTGCACTAAGTACAGTCAAAAGTCGTTAATCCGGACTCGTCGGGACTTCGGAGATTCCGGATTATCAATTTTTCCGGATTATAGATCATCAGTTTAAATCTGGTAAGATGGCATGCAAAAATTACAAAATTAAAAATATGAAACCGTAATTTATGAAATAAAGAACAATTATGATCTAAAGGGTATCAAAATTTACAAAAAGAAAAAGCTTAATATTTATTTGTTTACTTTATTAAACATTTCTTTCAATGTAAGTTGTTTAAGTTGCTTCGTTTCATTTGATAATACTTTCTCTTTAATTCTATTAAACAGACATAATTTCTTGTTCAGTTACAAAGTTCCGCTGTTCAAGTCCTATAATTGCTGTGTCGAGAATACCGACTAATTTGTCAATAGAAATTTTTTCGTTTTTCAATAACCTCTGTCACTTTCTTCGCTATCGGAAGCGAATTATAATGACGAGGAATTTGATTTAAATCATATCAAAGACGGAGTACATCGAGATGAAATACTACATTTAGTAAGGAATTATAAGCCAAATAAAATAAAAACATTTGTCCTGAAGATAAGGATAGTGCTAACAGATCAACTTCCAATTCATTGCGCGCCGCGGCGTTCCCCCCGCAGAGCAGCGTGAAATTGATAAACAGATTTCGGATTTCGAAACATACTTTCGCTTTAGATCCTTTACATATTAGCAAATATATATCGGAAATTCTATTTGATATAATCGAAAATTCAAGCTTACTTTTATAAAATTACTCTAACAGTCTGCAAAAAATAATAAGCCGGATCCAATTCGAAGATTAAGGAACAACGCAATCTGCAACATTAACTGAATTAGATAATTTTAGCTTAGCTTATACCATCCGTTATACAATAAGCGCGCATGCGTAAGCGTTTTATGCGCATGCGCACACACATATTCGCAGCCGTAAATGTCTTACGCGCACACGTAAACGCCTATGCGCGTGCGTCAACGCGACGCATGCAAAAAACGTTTGTAGCTTTGAGGTCCGGATTATGGGTGTCCGAATTAACGATTTTGACTGTATAGGAATCCGCTTTCAGGAGCAATATCATCATCTTTATCTTTATCCCAGTATATTCAAACTGTCTCCAAACTAATAGCCATTCACGAACTGACTGAAGTGTAATTTAGACAAAGTAAACTTTTTATTTGAATTACTTATCTCTAAAATTCAATTAAAAAACGATGCCTTGGTTTTGAGCTGTAGCTTAAATTCTCGCCCGTTCCGCTTCATTGCTTAGTCTCATTTTCTGTATTAGCCTAATTCTCTAACTCAAATTCTTGATCTTGTTTCTCCATTCTCTCACTTTTCTCTAACTGAAATTCTTCATTTTATTATCAACAACATTCTCCAAAATTACTTTATGGAGTATTTTTTATCCAATTCCTTATACAGCAATATTCTCCAAATTTCCTTTTCTAATCCATTTAAAAAATCTGGGTCACTTTTATGCTCACTGCTATTTAGAACAAACAATATTCTTTAAATCGGAGATTTTAGTTGATAGTGTCACTACTTCGGCAATTTCATCAACCAAATCTTCTTTCTTGACATAATATTTTAAATCTTCTTTCCTCACATAATTTAATAATAAAAACATCATTTAAACTTCGATTAATAAATGCTGGGGAACTACTTTGATATGCGCCCTCAAGGCGCCAAATTTCTCGCCAAATATTTTTGGCTAGAAACTCCACGCTGCCATATTGCTATCTAAATTTTTTGTCTACATTTCGAACTTCAAGCCTAAAATGTCTCTAAAAACACGGTTTTCGCGAATGCAAAAACCACGTTTTGAACACACAATTTAAGCTAAAAATCCGAAACAAAAACAAAAAATTTAGATAGCAAAACCGTAAAGTTTCTAACCAAAATTGTTTGACAAGTGTCCATGTACACAGCGATATGTTTTAACTTAAAAAAACATCTACGAATGGCATCATCTAGGCAACGAACGAATTTACGAACTACGCACACCTCGCTTTAATAAATTAACATAACAACTATAAATTTCAAAGAATACCATGTACACAGCGTTCTGTTTCAACTTTAAAAAACATCTACGAATTGCACAATTTAGACGGTACGCACTAATCAACAAAATAACTAAAATAAATTTCAAACAATTCAAAAAACAACAATAACGACAGAAATTCATACTAAAAAAACAATGAACATAACATTCTACAAAATAAGAACAAGAATAAATACAAAATAAAATGCACTTACCATTAATGCTTTTTCGAACAGCAGAAATACCAATTTCATACCGCCTTTAACATGCCGCCACAGGTAATCACTATCGTATTTATATGACAGCCAGGACACACTATCCAGAAAATTCATACTATGGTTCACGAATAAATAAAATAACAAATAATCACAAATCCCTACTTCTATCACGCACACATAAAAGCCACTAAAATAATCTCCCATACCTCCTCTTTCCACACCTCCAAATACCCATTGCCCCTCAACAGGATGACCACGACGATATTTCCTTATGGCGAACTTCAATTCAACAACTTTCACCATTAAATCTTTCCCCCCTAGCTTCTCAGACACAAAGCATGGCGGGAACCAACGAACCCCAGCGAAAGATTTTTCAACGTCAACAGGGTTGCCATACAACACGCAATCGCTCCAGAAACCAGCGCAGAACACATATCGCCACATTTGGTGAAATTAGGGCGTATATCAGAGATGTACCAATGCTGGTTAATTTGACAAAGTCCTGTGAGCGGATGCAAAGTATAAGGTGTAACCCAAACAATTACCGAATTTTCTGCTATTAAACTTATAAGGTCGCCTTAGCGTGCCTTCGTGGTGTAACGGTAGCACGCTGAGCCGGTATTCCAGAGGTCCGTGGTTCGATTCCCGGCGAAGGCGGTTGCATATTTTTCATCTTTTCTGCTTCCAATTAACGTAATGACTCTACAAACTATCTACTTTTGATCTCCAGGTTCCGCAAAGGCTCCATGAAATATTTCTTTAATAAAAATGCCTGCACCTCAAAGATTCTCACATGAAAGCATTGTTATTTACAGCACGTAATTCTACCAAGAAAATCCCGCATTCTAATGCAAGCAAGCAGATGATAACACCAGAACAGAAGAAAAACTGACTGTATTGATTTTATTTAATTATGTCAAAACAACCGAAGGCTAGCTGTCTAAAAGGATATATGCCTTAGCGGAGGACTTTCTAAGAAAATCGTGCTGGTATACACATTAAATATTGGGAAAACCACGAAAACGTTTATTCAATCACCTCCATTCGTCGAAATTCGAACCCCGGACCGACCTATCAGTGTTCAGCGACTTTACTGCTCGGCCCTGGTGGGCATATCAGAAGAAAAATACTGGTATTACAAAATTATGAGCGATATTATTAGCCTCTTAATAAGGTTAAACTTTAAAGACTGCATAATATTTCTCTAATAAGTGGTACTGCAGTAAAGCTGACATATATATTAAAATAGTAAAATTATTATGTAAATATAGGAATACTAGGAATAGTAATTATATAAGAATTGTATAAAAAATTAGAGAAAACATTTACTTACATGAATAAAGACATTGTTAGTCCTGTCGCTGCTACAGGATTGCGGTATATCATCCATGTGGTAATCATTCTTATCATATCCGCCGCAGCATTCCAGCTGCAACAAATAAACACATTATGATTCAAAATCAAGTTAAATTATTTTATCTTTTCCGATTCCTATACAAATCATTTTACCTGTTCTTATAAAAAATCCTTTCATTGCGTGAGTTTAGGTGAACTTTACAATTAAAATGAAAATCGTATAATTATTACACTTAAATTTATAGCAAGGTAAGCAAACGAAAATGTAAAAAATTATTGCTTACATGTAGTTGAAGTAATTCAACGAATCTAGCAGAAGCACCTCCATCTTCTAGCTTGCTTTTATCAATTTGATCTTTGATAGATTCTGTCAAAAATTCTTGAAACTGAAATAAAATGTTAAACAGTGCTTACAATCCATGAATATAGTTACTGAAATTTACTTAAATTCGTTAACATAATGCATAACCTTCAAACATTTAAGTCCCCAATAATAATAAAATTAACTGAGCCCAATCTAATCCAAAATAAGTTTGTTCATTGGAAACTTTATTGTAATAGAGCAAATCCTCACCGTAAAAACAAACTATCTGCGTAAATTGTATTGAGAAAGCAATGATTTCTACACTTGTTTTAATGGAGTGCAGCAAACAACAGTACGCTTTTCACAAAAAAAAAAAAAAAAAAAAAAAAAAAAAAAAAAAGCGACATTTCTCTTTATCTCCCGTTCTATTGGACCGATTATCGAAATATAACTTAGGTTATATATTAGATTTATATATAGCATTGTTCTAATGCAGGTATTTTGAAACAAAATTGAACTTTTTCTGAAATACCATAACAATGTTTTTCCATATTTCGATTCTATAACTCACATTATGCCTAGATATAAAATTTTGTAACTTTTGATGAGAAATTTATGAAGATATTTAAAAATTTATCTTGGGCCTTTTTCTTACATACGTACGTACGTGCGAGCGTACGTACGTATCTCGCATAACTCAAAAACGAGTAGCCTCAGAACGTTGAAATTTTGTATATAGGACTGCTATAACATGTAGATGTGCACCTCGTATTTTGGTTCCAATCGCCAGCACCAAACATATATCAATATATTTATATATATAACCACTCTGTTACCCGGCTTGGTGATCTCAGTTTCTTTACTCTTATTTGTTGGTAAATTGTACATTTTTTGCTTTAAAAATGATTGAATTATGTTGTTTTTTTCTATCTTCAGTTAGGGATTTTTATGCCTTTAGTAAATCTGTGTGCAATAATTTTAGAATTATCAGCAATTTTAAAGCTGTTTAATTGCCGCTAAGCCTTTTTAATGGCGGGCATTGATGTTTACATTTGAAACAGGAGTCTAAGTGGATTTGTTGCCAATCTAGAGAGACTAAGCTTCGCAACACAAAAATAACGCTCTCATTTATTATTGCCAATTAAATCATGCTTAATTCTTTCTGGAATTTTTTCGAGGAAATAAGTGTTTGAGATTTACTTCGTAATTTTTAATATACATATTTTGAGTTTTTATGTATTTTTGACTTCTCGCGAAGTGAGAACTGAATTAATAAAATGAGAAATACTCAATCGTCTGTGAAAGACTGTTTCTTTTTTGTTTTCTTTATTTAATTTCTTTTATATATCATTCTAGCTTTATTATAGTATTTGAACAGAACATGTGGCAACGATTAGATAATTCTATTCTTTAAATGATATAAATTTTGTGCATTATCAGTTATAATATAAACGAAATATATAAGTTAACTGTTATATAATTATTGGATTATATAACAGTTACCTTAGTTTCCGTTATAAAATTATTATATAAGTTGACTGTTATATAATTATTAATACTGTTAAGTGAATCTAGCGCCAGAGTGTCGCTATCGCAAACAAATACTATAGTGAATTTTAAAGAATGCATTTATTGTATTTTGGTTTATGCGCTGTCAACGAAGTAGATTTAATTCAATCCAATAAGTTTAAATGAAATGCAAGAAAAATGCGTATAATTTAATATTCCGTTAAAGGAAGTCATGTGGTGTACACATCAGATTTTTTTTAATTGTACACAACCGGAAAAAGGGTCCTCGATCATTACTTTCAAATAATTTTAACAAAGTGCGTAAACTATTTATCGAAGTTTTACAATAGAGCACATGGAAAATAATAAATTAATTGTTAATTTAAATTTATAGGGCCTAGGTATGGGAGAATAGTATTAACATCAGGGCGAAATTCTCTGATAATTATTAGAAAATTATTCTGTGCGTTCATTCTGCACAAAAAAGAAAGAAAAAAAAAAAAAAAAAAAAAAAAAACCTGAACAGTTTCAGATTTTAAATTAATTTCAAAGGATTTTTTTTTTAATGTTTTGTGTGTTACCTTTATTCCTTAAATATCTTTTTTTCTGCACTTTAACCATAAAATCTAGTTCAAAAGCAATATCGCAAAATAGTTTTAAAATGAGCATATCTTTAGAATTTCCGATACACAGTCTCGCGCACTGGAGATAAAAATGTTTTTTCTGTACAACGTTGCCATTGCTCGCTTTGAAAGCCTTGAGTTGTAAGTCAAAATTCGTTAAAGTTTTACAAAATATGAAATAGATAATAAAAAAATTCCAAATTTCAACTTTGGGTTTCCAGATGCACATACCTGGAAGAGGATTACGTTATTCAAATTCTGGTGTCTCTAGGTACCGTTGTTTTATCACAATGTGAAAAACATACATAGATTTATGCAGATTCTTCATTATTTAATTTTTTCAAATATAATACAGGACGATAGTATTTGGCGTAGACAGTTTGAAAAGTGAAACGGACATTCAGAGTGTTTCGACTCAAAATCGCAAAACGAGAACAATAGTCCCCCAGGGACAAAGCCCCTTTAGATTAAAAAAAAAGAAAAAAAAAAAAAAAAAAAGCAAATATGAAAGGTTACATATTTTAAATTACGTCCAAAGTTTTTTTTTTTTTTTTTCATTTTGTGTGTTACCTTTAATAAATATCATGTTCTTCGTGCTTAAAAAACCATAAAATTTAGTTCAACAGCAATATCGCAAAATAATTCTAAAATGAACATATCTTTAGAAATTTCGATACAGAGTCTGGCGCGGTGGAGATAAAAATATTGTTTTTTCTCGTACAGTGTTGCCATCGTTCGCTTTGAAATCATTTAGTTTGTTAATCAAAAATTCATTGAAGTGTTGCAAAGTATGAAATCGATAATAAAACAAATTTGAAATTCAAATTAGGACTTCCATATGCCCATATTCTATGGAAGATTACGTTACTCAAATTTTGATGGCTCTAGGTATGTTGTTTTATCACAGTGATAAAACATACAGATATACGTGCAGATTATTAATTATTTAATTTCTTTAAATATAATACAGGCGGGTAATATTTGGTGGCAACAATCTGAAAAGTGAAGCAACGCTTATCGTGAATCGATGCAAAATGTCAAAACGAATAGTCCTCTTGGGCAAATTACCCCTTTGAACACAAAAACAAAACTCTTCCGGTCGATTAATGAAATTTAATTCGTGTTCTTCATGTCTCAAAAGAACGATTTAGAATATATATTAGATTTATGTATAGCATTGTTCTAGCATAAGAGTTTTGACACAAAATCGGACTTTTTCTGCGATCACATACCAATTTTTTTTCGTGTTTCGATTCTACGGCTCAAATTATTCCTAAATATTTAATTTTGCAAATTTGGTGATAAACTTACAGAGAAATTTAAAAATTTATCTTGGCGCACTTTTCTCAATTTGCGCTAAGAATAATTCACTCGGCGAAATTCTTACTTTATATGTTAACCTACTTTCTTTTTCCTTTTATTTTGCAAGAGCGGAAAATTGTGAGCGAGTATCTTTCATCCTTTTCAAATCATTTTTTTTCTGTTTTTAGATCCGTAAAACACATTGGGAAGCAATAAATATAGTAAGCTTTACTGCTTAAAGTAAATATGCCCATTTTCAAAACGGGCAATTATGTAAATTTACAAATATCTTGCGAAATTTTGCATAAAAATACTTATTTATATTATTGACTTATTTATTGCTTAGAAACACAGCCATTTTAAGACGATGGGAAAACTTTTATATGTTATAATTCAAATATTTTCGAAAAATATATAAAACAATATTAAAATATTTCGAAAAATATAAAAAAATTCAAATTTCAAAAATAAATCAGAATATAGCTGCGAATTTTATTTGGAATAAATCCTAATTTCGAGCTATGAAAGAAAGAATCAAGTGCGTTTAATAAAAAGAGAGATATTAATGAATCTATAACAAACTCATTTAATATTAAGAAGCTCAAATTTCAAGAGCTAATTTTTTAAAAAACTAATCATTCGAATTTTCAAAAACTTTGCACTTTGGCATAATTTGAGTCATAGAATCGAAATATAGAAAAAATTCATATTTCATTTCAGAAAAAGTACGATTTTGTATCAAAATAGCTATGTTAGAATAATGCTATGTATAAATCTAATATATATACGAGTATATGTACAACTCGCGATTTCGAGACATGAAAAACGGAAGTCAAATTTCGTAAATCGGCGAAGTAAAACGAGAAATATGGAAGTGTCTCAATTTTTTGTGCAAGATGTACATTTAAGATAAAACGAAATTCAGTTTAAGATTTAAAGAATTTAGCTTATACCTTTTCACCATTAGCATGCTTCCACACAAGCCCAGCAGCTGCAAGTTCCATCACAACCACAATTACCAGAATAACAAAATACTGTAAGAAAAGTAAATCAGTGTTTGAATGAAGTCGAGAAACAAGTATCCACATGGCCGAAAATTGACTTTAAATTTTAGAATAAATTTACAAATATTATGTTAATTTGAATATTTCGCAATACATGCACATACACTTTATTATACCGATGCTTAATGGAAAAACCACTCAACTAAAATTTAATTTTTTGAAGTTAAAAACTGATAAATATTAGCAATAATACAAAATTTTTAGAAGTTAAAAACTGATAAAT